GCCCATGTTCCCCAGCAACTGCTGTATATAGGCACAGTGCCTCTGATCCTGGAGAGAGCACAGAGCCATCAGAACTAATAGTCATTTCCTCAGAAATAAAAGTAGCTAAATTTTACCAGAATTGGGTCACTAATAAAGGAAAATTAAGTCCTGAGTATTCATTGACTCCAGTTTCCAAGATACAGCTTCAGGTCAAAATTGCATCAAAATAATTCAAAATTACGAGGGGTATGTGCAATTATGCTCCATGACTTTTCTGCAGAATGTGATATAGCAATGAGAATGGTCATTTAGTTCACTCTGTGAAATTAGATGTGGTTCAGGAGGGGCATGCGGTGGGCTAAAGTTTGGGTCTGCTGACATCGATGGCCCTGGATCAGCTGCATCCTGCTCATTGTCTCTCATCATCTGAGTCTAGAGAGGAGGATTCTGGTGGATCTGGAATTGGCAAGTCCTCACCATGGGGTACCAGACGCAGTGCGGATGGAATGTTTGGATATTCCACAGTCCACTTCTTCTTTCTTGAGATCCCTTTTGCAGCTGGGGGAACCATGCAAAAATAGCAGTCGCTACTATAGCCTTATGCTTTATGAATTTTACCAATCCCTGTTGAAAGCCATTTAAATTGGTGGCCACGGTGGAGATTCCATGCCTAATTGGTGTGCCATGGGAAGAAGCGCTGCTTTGGTCCGTCCTGAATCTCCCACCAGCCAGTTTCATGGGAGGACACCAAATTTGAGTATTATGAAGTGTTATGAAGAATGGCTCCTTCTCCACTTTCTCCACAGCAAGCATGCTTTGCAGCACACTATCAGGCCTCGCCCATTTTTTCCTAAGCTAACCCATCTCGGCTCTTGCAGCCTTTCCCATCAGGAGAGTCACTCCCGCCCTTTCTGCACTTTCCCCCACTCTGTGATACTTTTTATAAGCAGTGAGCAGAACAGTATACAGGATTCCAAGTGTGGCTGTGCCATTGGATTTGTAGAAGGGGAACGTGATGTTGGCGCTCCCTCTTCGTTTTCTTACTCCTAATGCATTGCTCGCCTTGGTCGCGGCCGCCATGCACTGAACTGGCATTGCAGCAGGTCGTCAGCCGCCTTCTTGAGATCTTTGTCTTGGTCACTCACTTGCAGCTCCGATCCCATGTGCTTACGTATGTCCCAATGTGCATCATTTGGCACTTGCTTACATGGAATCTCAATCGCCATGTGGACACCAATTCTCTCCTTTTGGAAGGGCCCACTGAGAGCTTCTTGCAATCCCTTTTTGTTTTAATGACCCTAAATAATTTGGTCTGTTCAGCAAACTTGGCCACTTTGCTGTGTGGTCCTAATTGCAGATCAGTTATGGAGAGATATACTGGTCCCAACATATATTCTTGTGGGACCCAACTGTTTACAAGCCACCGTTGAGAGAATTTACCATTTATTCCTACTCTCGACTTTCTGTTACTTAATCCATTACTGCCCTGCAGAGGAAATCTTCTCATTTCATGACTGCTAAGTTTGCTCAGGAGTCTTTGATGAGGGACGTTGTCAAAAACCTCCTGTAAGTTCAGATAAACAGTATCTACCATATCTCCCATCCTCCTGTTCATTGATACTCTCAAAGAACTCTAAAAGGCATGTGAGACAGGACTTACCTTTGTGAAAGCTCTGTTGATCCTTTTTCAGCAGAGCTTGTCCTTCTATGTGCTTAATAATTTTGTATTTACTGATGTTTTCAGCCAATTAACTTGGAATAGATATTAAGCAAACACTTGTAATTTTCTGGATCCCTAGAATGCTTTTTAAAATGGCATTACTTTGTCTCTTCTCCTGTCCTCTAATACAGGGGTTGTTCTTAGGGACATGTTACATTTTTTTGTTAAGCAGAGCAGCAATTTTATATTTTAAATCTCTAAGATTCTAGAATGGATGCCATCTGGCTCCAGCAATTTATTTCCAGTTTGTCAATAAAAAGTTAAGAATGGAATCTTTTGTCAACACTGGTTGCATCATTTTATCTGACTCTCTTCCTCAACTGTAGGCATTTGTCATATATGTTTTGCAGGGAAGACAGATTCAAATAATTCATGCAGCTTCTCCGCAATCTCCTTATCCTCTTCTAGTAATCCCTTTGTCCCATTTCATCCAATGATCTAACTGCCTCCCTAGCTTGTTTCCTGCTTCTGATGTGTTCAAAAAACATTTTATGGTTCACCTTGATGCTGTTCGTGATATGCTTCTCAAAATGGTTTTGTGCGGTTCTTACTGCCCATTTGCATCTCCTTCAGGCAAGCTTGTGCTCTTTGTTTTCCTCGGTTGGGCAAGACTTCAGTTTTCTGAAGGAAGTCGGCTTAACTCTGATAGGCTTTTTGATCTTGCTCATTAACGTGTCAGTGGACATGATGCTGCTTTTCTTAAACTGTGGTATATATTCTAGCTGAGCATCTGTTGTGGTGGCCTTGAGTAACTTGTAAGCATTTTGGCAGGATTTAACTCTCTCAACGCCCCCTTTCAACTTCTGGAACTGCAGTCTAGAAAATACAGTTCCCAGCATCCTGGGGAAACAGCAGGTGTCTGTTTAAGACTTCCACCTTTGGTGAGCAAGGAAGAATCATGGATGTTAAGGTCATACCTGTTGTCTTTGATCAAGGCAATACCAAGGTAACAGTGCTGTTTGGGAGTGGTGTATTATGCATTCCAAATGCCAAATAACACAAGCATTGTCCAAATTTGTTATTTGCAAACCGATTTCAAACCATGGTTTGGAGCAAAGTGTACATAGCGGCAGGAAAGGCTCCCTTGGGGAAACTGAGAATGGATTATTATGGATTTCTGAAGAGTGGCTTTTACGCAGCTTCTTTTATGGCCAGTCTGCAAAGCACCGTGTTACGTAAATAAAAGACTTTTACTGCCTTCAGTGGTTGCGACAGCTTTGTAGTTCTAAGAATATAAATAATACTTTGCAATTATTAGAGAGTGTCTCCTCTTCCAAGAACCACAGAGCTCTTTACACAATATAATGAGGCACCAAGACTTCTACAAGAGGACTAGACATACCATAACACCCATTCCCTGAGGCTCAAACAAGAGTTGTGCAGACAGAGGGAGAGAGAGAAATTCCACCACTAATGCCTACACTGCTAAATTGGGCGCCTGCAAACTGAATCCATGCTCAAGCTGCCTGGAAAGCTGGTGGTGAAACCTCTAGCTTCTGGGAGCAAAATGTATGCCTATTGGACATTTTTGCATATATTTGATTTGTATTACCCCTTTCCCTTTGGGTTAAAATGTGAGTTGTGGGAGGAGTATTGGCATGACTTGCGGGTGGTTGTCGGGAATATAAGCCAAGGTTTGCAACGTCCAAGGAGGAGCCTGGAGATTTATTATATAAAACACATTTGTCAGAACCTGGCCGACTGCAGCACTAGCAAATCAAGTCTGAACCCTCTCCCCCGATGTTAGCATTTACCTTCTCATGTGCTTCTTGAAGCACAGTATCCATGATGGGCAGACAAGGAAGGGCTGTAGCTTAGGAGCAGGGAGCTGCCCTGCGTGTGGAAGGCCCTGGGCTTGATCCCCAGCATTCACTGAGGACTGGAAAAACACCTGTTGGGTCCCTGGAGAGCCACCCCTGCCAGTCAGTGTCAACAGTATTGGTCTAGATGGTCTGATCTGCAGCTTCCTATGTTCTTACTCTCCATGGGGGTGTCAGATGTCCAGGGCAGCTGTGACACCCATGTGACATTCCTGGAATATTTTTCGACCGTCTTCACCTTTCGCCCTAACCAGTCAGCTTGGGGGTGCTAACGAAGCTGGGTTAGATGGTGTCTAATTGCTCCAGCTTTAGTGCAGTAGGTTAGTAAGGATCTTGGCAACAAGAAGCAGGGCCTTTTTGGGAGTGGCACTCGGGTTCTGGAATCAGCTCCCCAGAGAGGGTTGCCTGGAGCCATCTTTATACTCTTTTTGGCACCAGGAAAAGCCTTTTAATTCCACCACAGATTTAATTCTTAAATCAGTTTTTAATGGTATTTTAACGGCTATGTCTTTTAAAAACTCAGGATTTCTGTTGGGTGCAGTTTTATTGTTGTTCATGTTTTTATTGATTGTGAAGTGTTTATACTGTTTTATATTGTTCGTATTTTGTTTTGATTGTTGTAATCTGCCCAAGGAGCCGTGTGGCTAATGGGGTGGCCTAGAAACGTAATAAATAAATAATCCCTGGTGCCTCACCAGCGCCCAGAAACTACTGATAGAGGACTCTTCTGTAATGCAGAGGAGAGCTCTCGCTAGGCTACTGGTGCCAAAGCTTCCTGTTTTCAGTCTTTTGCCATCTGTCTCTCTCTGTCTCTTGCGAGCACCTTCAGTAACTTGGGAGAGACGGCTGAAGCTTCCGTTTAGGGCAGCCTTCACCAACATGGAGCCCGGAAGATGTTTTGTACTTCAGCTCCCTGCAACCCCAGCCAGCCTGGTTTTCCCGTGGGCAGCTGGTTAGCCACTGTGTAAACAGAATGCTGGACTGATCTGGACCAGCGAGGCTCTTCCCATCGTCTTACATGAACACAAGGTGTCTGCCCAGCAGCAGAGAACCCTGATCGAAGTGGCATCCAGTAATTATTTTGTCAAAGTTTCTGTTTTGCTCTGGTCTGGCTTGACGAGGGTTCGCCCGGCTGTGATAAATTATACCATCATGGTGTTGTGCAAATACTAAAAGAGAAGTCTATTTGGATGCATGCATGGCATGGGATGACCTTAAAATTTCGGGGGCCTCAGTGCTTTTGGCTTTATGAATAGTTGCAGTAAAGGTGATGACCATCAACAATGCATATTCCCAGCTCAAGCCACAAGTTAATTTTGTTCCAGCAGCCCAAGGATGTTGAAACAGGTTCTTCATCTGGACCAGCATTTGGGTCAGAATTCTGAGGACACAGAAGCCAAGCTGTTCCCAGCATGTTGTCCCTTGTTGTAAGTGTTTGAATTAATTGAAGGTCTTTTCCTGCTTCCTTTTTCTCCCAGGGTTATCACCCGTTGCCACATGAAGCTGAAATTGCGCACACCAAAAAATTATTCAGAAGAAGAAGGAATGACCGGAGGTAAGAGAAAGATTTCTCACCAATCATTGTTTTACAATGAAATCTGACTAAGTGATTGTGTATCTCATGATCTACATCGAAAATGCAATTGAAATGTGAAATCCTGTGGAATTTCAGGTGATAGCTGGGGGTCCAGACGGTAGCAAGCAACCCAAAGACTGCAGGCTGAGAGCCAGATTGGATCAGTGCGGTCTTCTGTGGATGGGACATGGAAAGAGAACATTTATTTGGATGGGAAGGACTTGCCAGTCAAAGGTTGAACAGGAAACTTGAGGCTGAGCAGCCCTGGCTTGCTGGCCAGAGGTGGTCAATAGAATGTCCAGGGCTTGATTTAAATGAGCCTTCCAGCCTGCCAGGGTTGGAAGACCTGATGATAGAGAAATTTGGGGCAATTAACAGGAACATTTTATTTTATTTATTTATTAAAACATTTTTAATAGAAACAGAGTGAGTCAGAAGGGATCTCCCGGGTCATCTAGTCTGACCCCCGGCTCCAGCCGGCTCCGCTCATGACATGCCCACCATGTGCATGTCCAGCCTATCCTTGAACACCTGCACCGATGGGGCCTCAATGACCTCTCGTGGAAGCCCATTCCACACCCTCGGGGTCCTGACTGTCAGGAAGTGCTTCCTGGCATCCAAATGGAACCTTGGTTCCCTGAGCTTTGCTCCGTTGGAGCGCGTCCTGCCTTCCTTCCTCTGCAGGGGAGAACAGGTCTCTCCCCACCTCCATGTGACACCCCCTCACATACCTGTATGTCGCCAACAGATCCCCCCGGAGTCTCCTCTCCTCCAGGCTGAAGAGACCCAGCTCCCTCAGTCTCGCCTCATGCAGCATCCCCTGCAAACCGGACACCGACCCTGTGGCCCTACATTATTCTGTGCCTCTTGAAACATACCTGTTCCTGGTCAGGAGGTCTACAAGGGATGGGCAACCTCACAGGCCATGGATTAGGTGTTCCCCTCAGCCATCATGCAGAACATAATGGGGGAAATTTGGTCTGTAAAGAGGAATTTGCTCCCCCTGGAATTGGAATACTGGAAAGTAACACCATCTTGGATCTAGGGCAAACCACACCAGCTGCTGAAAGCAGGTCCTATGAATCAACGTGTCCAGGAATCGCTCAAAGGTCTTTAACATTGTGTTTTGTGTTGCCTTATACAATAGCATACCACACAAATAGCTTTAAAAGGAGAGCAAGAGGGGGGCATCCTTAATTTAAAGCTTTGCTAGTTTCAAAAATTTCCTCCACTGGTTATTTAGCAAGCAGTATTTGTTTAATAAGTACATTTATAAATATGAATATTCAACTATATAAATACATACATTTGATGGTATAATAGGTTCCTTGTTGAATGCCTCTTTGGGTGTTTATGTAAAAGGGCTTTTCGGAAAGATTTATGGCTTGAGAATTAACTGTGAATCTTTGTGTACTGCAAAGTGAATGTTTTAAATGCTTAAACTTTTATACTGTTTTATGCAGTGTTTTATGGTTTTAAATAGTTGTAAACTGCCTAGAGAGCTTTGGCTGTTGGGCAGTATAGAAAAGTAATTCAAAATAAATAAATGCTTTAAGGGCATAATCCTATGCATAATTCTATGCAAATTTAGATAGGAAAAAAGTTTTACAATTCCCAGCATTCCCCAATTAACCATAGGTAACTGGGGCATGCTGGGAATTGTAGGCCTTTTTCTGTCTAAGTTTGCACACATTTGTGCCTTGGTTTATTGGTTTAAATAGATCACAATTCAAACCTGCAAGCTTACATGTCATATATTTATTGCCACATATGCAGTCGAGTAACAATTGCCAGAAGTGTTTAAACTCACAAATCTTTTCCAACGTTTTATAATTTATTGATGTAACTTCATAATCCTTTGAAATAACAGTGCACCTGAATCTTCATTTTGCTTCATGCAATGTGGAACGGGTTGGAATATTAGTGTACACTGCATGGAATTTGGTGTCTTTGTATGCCCCATGGCTGAGCTGTGAGCTGTGCTCCACCATGGGAATCCCAGCTTCCCTTCCAACAGAGCAGCTATGAAATCTGAACTGCGCTATGGGCTATAACCACTGAGCAAGGCTGTTTGCCCCATCGAGGTGCTGAATATCTTGAGTGCAACACAGAGTCACAGTAATGATTTGCCATGAGTTTTCAGAAGATTTTGGCCTTGTAAACTGCAGGACTTTGGACCAGACAGCCAGGGCTCACAGCAAACTGAGTGGGACCCCCCCCCCCTCACCCAAAGTAGCATGGGTGCCTCACCCCATTTTGAAATCAGCAAAGCAAAAGGCCAGCTTTCCCCAGCTTAGGCTTTTGAGATGGTTTGGAGTGCAACTCCCATCAGCCCTAAGCAACATGGTCAGTGGTCAGGAATGTTTGCTTCATGGGGTACCAGGTTGGGGAAGGCTGCAATATAAGGGGTTGGCAAGACCATGAAGCCCGAAGTCTAAAATTACCAACTCAAGCACTGGAAGGGAAGTCAGCCATGACTGGAAATGCAGAAGCATGTCTGACTGGGACCCCAGAGAGCCTCCAGTGCCGGCCAATGCTGCTGCCCATGTTGAGGTAGCAGAGCTCTTTCCTGACTTGGTAGAGGGAATGGGGAATATTTCATTGCTCATTAGGGCGGAAGAATGCGATCATGGCCAGTAGGACCTGGGCTCGTGCTGCAAAAGGGGGAGATCGAGGGCAATCAGGTGGCTTCTCATTTCTGTGTTGGTAACAGCCCCAAGCATCGCTCATTAGTTAAATAACAGGATGACAGACGTGTCCCTAACTTTCCAGGACAGTATTAGCCTGGTGGACTTCCTACTGTTAACTTGGCTTTACACTTAAATGATCAAGCGGAAGGAATTACTTTGTTTTTCTCTGGTTTTTAAAATTTTAATTAACTTCACATCTTGAGGAAATGATGCCCTCTTTCCACCAAAACCTTGGAGTAGATCTTGGCAAATGTATGCAGCTTCTCTTGCTTCCTTTTTTTTTTTTTTTCTTTTTCTTTTTTTTGGAAGCATAAAGTTTTGTAATCTTCTGGTGACCCACTTCATTCATTTCCACTTTTGATTACCAGGTCATGCAAGATGTTGTTTAAAAATAATTGTAAAAATCTGGAGAGTTAGTTTCCTACTTTAAGGATTAAGGCAGTGATCTTGTGCACACTTAGGTGGAAGTAAGTTGGAAGTTGGATTTACTTCTGGGTAAAGATACTTTGATTGTACTATAGAGAGAGAAGAGCCAGCAACTGGCAATCCTGGGCCCAATCCAGTTCTCATGAAGATTTAGGCTAGCCAACCAGTGCTAATTTCTCTTCCAGTAGCCCACTTTTCCGCAACCAGATTTTTTGGACTACACCCCCTACATTCCTGACCAATAGCCATGTTAGCTGGGGCTGATGGGAGCTGATGTTTAAAATATCTGGAGTGCATCATGATGGGAAAGGGAAAGGGAAGGGAACAAAGAAGGGAAAAAACCTAGAAGTGAGGGATGGAGAAAAATGCTAAAAGGTGGTGGAAAGGAATGTGGGGAATTAGGGAACTGTGGCTTTCAGATCAGCAAATTATGTCTGTCTGTCTGTCTGTCTGTCTGTCTGTCTATCTATCATCCATCCATCCATCCCTCTCTCTCTCTCTCTCTCTCTCTCTCTCTTTATTTGAAACTTTTATATGCCGTCCCCACATGCCTCGTCATCTCAGGATGGCTTACAACGTAGATATCAATATCGATCGATAGGTTTAGCTGTCATGATGGCCTCCTTACAGCAGGCCATTTTCCTGGGTTGGGATCGATCTGTGGTGTTCCAGGGACAATTAGCTGGAACCTCCTTGGGACTGGGAATTTTTCCTGGTTGGGATTGGCCAGAAGGCAATTCGGACAGTAGGAACCAAAAAGATACTAAAGTTGGCACCAGAAGGGCAGCTTGTTCCATAACTGGGGGGAAAGGGTGGTAACAATTGGAGGCAAAGCCCACATTGTGATCTTCGTGTCGAGATAAATTAGTGTCTCGCTCCTAAGAACTGTAGAGCTGTATAGTTAAAACCGGTGCCTTGAGTTGGGTTTGGAAGCGTGCAGGCAGCCAATGCGTGCAGGCGAGACTTCATATTATGTGTTCAGACCTTCTTGTCCCAGTTATTAATCTGGCTGCTGCCTTTTGCACAGGGGAACCGAGTGAGGAAGCAATAGTTGCAGCGTTGGCAACTGCTGGCAGGGACTGGGCTGCCCACACAGGCTTCAGCAGGCTCAGGCTGCAGTGTGTTGAGGGCAGATGAGCGCCGGGCCCAGGCCCTTCCATTTCGGGGCCGCCGGGCTCCTCTGTGGTGAGGGCAGCCGGCCTGCTCTTGCTGCATCACAGCCCTTCCCTGGCAGTGGCTTGCCAGCCTAGTTGGTTCAGGTGATCTGGGAAGTGCTGGGGCCTTCACTGTCCCAGGCCCAGTTTCCTGTGCTCTTCGGCCTGGAGGGACAACGCTCTGCCATGCCCTCAAGGGTTGCCCTCAGGTCAATCCTACAGCCAAATTTAGCAGCAGAAACTGATATCCAGGTGCAAACCACCACAGAAACTTTGAAAGGAGGGTGGCCCACAAAGGGGCAGGGGGCTGACCCCCCCTTCACTCCACAGCAACCTTCCCCAAGCCAGCACCCCACAGATGTATCAGATTGCAGCTTCCATCATCCACAGCCAGCTGGAGAAGATGGAAGCTGTGCACCAGTCCAATTGCAGGGCATCTCGCTGGAGAACGCTCCTCTACAAGTGCCTGCAGCTTCGGCTTGCTCCGCCTCCTGCCCCTTCCCTTCTGGACTGCCTCATCTACTTCCAACCCTTCCGTTGTCCTTTGGGAACGTGCCTTCCTTGTCTGTGTTGGCCATTGTTGTGCAGCTCTGGAGCCATTGCCTGCCCCTGCTGGAACTTGAACTATGCTTGTCCTGGACTGAGACCTTGGGGTGATGACCCGACACCCACAAGCCACGTTGGGGTGATCAGAGGCCTTCATTGGTCT